AGGGCGGAGGGGGGAGACGCTGTCGTTGCCGGCAGGAGACGTGGGGCCACGCTGTAGATCCACGTGGCACCACCAAGGCTGGGCTGGAGAACATTGTCTGCTTGGTTACGGTGATTTGAGGAGGTTACGGGCTGGTTGCAGAGTCCAGGAGATGGTCAGATCTAAGAGGTGGAAAAGAAACACCAACTAAACCCAAAAACCAGCCCCGAAAAACCCCAGAGGACTTGGAGCTATTTAGGCCAGAGAAGACCAGATTTGGGCAAGAGCTACTACAACCCTTTTATGAATATTTAAGGTGGGCTTTTTCCTTCTACTTAAACGCTGGAGTGGAAGGAAAACAGTAATTCTCTTTCTTCTCTAGTAGTGATGGGCTTAGGTGGCAGCAAAGGTGCTTTAGTTTAGCAATCAAAAAATATATATATATTTTTTTAAATAGTGTGGATAGTTCAGGCAATTTTGGTTTTGGCACTTCAGCTGCTGGATCTGGGCACTGGTGATTTTTTAGACAGGTTGGATAAGAACTACCATGATTTCTACAGATAGAGTCGATCCTGCCACTGTGGAAGGAGGAAACGGGGCTGAAAAGGTCCCTTTTGGCTCCGTTCTCTTCCACAAACTTTTTCTGAAAGGCGTTGGTTTGAAGATTTTGGCAGAAATGAAAGACCATCGTGGAATCCATGCACTTTCCTGCAGGAGCTCTGCAGGAATTCCATTACTACAGCTGGATTTCACCACCTGTACGGGTCTGTTGTTTTCAGATAGAGCTGTTCTAATAAAAAATGGGGTTTTTTTGGGCTTTGTTTCCCCCTCTAGTTTAATGCAAAATGGTAAAAAGGCATAGAATCTAAAATCATACCCAGTAGCAGAGGCACAACGAGGCAGTTTCATCTGTTACTGGCTCTCACATTCCTGGATCAGCTCCTGTTGGCCACATTACCCTTGGACACCTCTCGTATCTCCAATGACCCACCCCACAGAGCTCAGTGAGGAACCACATCTTTGTGACCCACTTGTGAGCTCGCGAGAGTGGAGAACTGCCCCAGATGGCACCAGGTGGCCTTGGTGGTACAAAAAAAACAAGGTTCATTTCAAAGTCTTAGGTAACACTCTGGTCTCCAGACCATCTTTCCATGGATGAGAAGGTCAAGTACTCCATAACCTCCTTCCCCCTGGTTTTTTGACTCCTTAAAAAGAACAACTGCTTGTCACGAGGAAGAGATTTACATTTGATGATTCAAAGAATGGTTAGAGTTGGAAGGGACCTTAAAGATCATTGAGTTCCAACCCCGGGACCTGGGCAGGGACGCCTCCCACCACACCAGGTCGCTCCAAGCCCCATCCAGACTGGCCTTGAACCCCTCCAGGGATGGGGCAGCCACAGCTTCTCTGGGCAACCTGTTCCAGGCTCTCACCACCCTCACTGCAAAGAATTCCTTCCAAATACCTAATCTAAATCTCCCCTCTTTCTGTTTAAAACCTTTGCCCCTCGTCCTATCGCCCATATGCCTTTTTTGGCCATTAAGAAAGCTTTTTCTTTTTTTAAATCAGTGTAACAATGTCAATTTTATATGTTTATTCTCTTGGTTGCAGCATCTGTTTCAGGGACTCCACAGGCTCTGGTGCAGGTACCTTCAGAGCTTTCCTGGTACAAAAGAAGTGAGGTCCTGGAATAAAAGCAGCGTAGCAGGGATTGTAACCAAGGTGCAGGTGCACAAAGAATGGAAAAATAAAAAAAAATAAGGCAAGAGGACAAATACATGATCCTTTCTCTGTCAGTTTGCAGGTTTTTGCAACAACTGCGGGCGAACCGCTGTGTTTAATAATGGCTTCATAATGTGGATTTATTTTTTTTTAAATAAAGGCTTCTGAGGACTTTGGCCCATTAAAGAAATAACACTGGGGGTGGGGAATTCATTCATTTTTTTTCCTACTGTAACGTGCAGTTTGATCATTTCATTGAGTGTCCTTAGCTCCTGTTTTGAGCAAGGGATGGTTCTGTGGTCACTTCATTTCACTTCACTTTCTGTGTCTTCCCTCTAGGAACCTTCCTGATCCTCCTCAAGCTTCTCACGGCTCAGTGTCCAAAACACATCCAGGAGAAGTCCCGCAGGCGCTGCCGGGTGGTGGGATGGGCAGTGGAGGCCCTAGGAGAGGAGGAGAACTCTTCCTTGGCCTCTCTCCCCGGGTGCACGATAAGCAGAAGAAAAAGGAAGCCCAAGAGGAAGGGCAGCCCCTCCCTGGCTGAATTACGGAATTAATCAGGGAATTAATTAGGGAATTTTGCAGGCTAAGGCCAGGACTAGGACGTAATGCCAGGGTGGGAGGTACAAGAGCTCACAAGCTGCGTTGAGCTCAACGCTCTCCATGTCAGACCATCCTTTGGGTAAGGACATTGGTGTTCTTGGGCTGCACCATGCTGTCAAAGGCAGCTACACATCACAGCAGAAACCTCAATTAATCCCAAATTAACGCCCACCCCCTCTGCGACTGAAGTATTATCTTTGTTAAGAAAAACCCAACCCATTCTGCCCCAGACTGTCTGGTTTCACGCAGAGGACCATCCTACCTACTCCAGCAGAATTCCAGGGATGTTATTAAATTCAAGACTGGGTCCCTTCAAATTGTTTATATACATTTTCAAACAGTTTTCAGTTGCCACAGTAATTTTAAAATTTTCAAAGCAGTTTAAAACCCGGCGGAAAAATCATTATTCTTTCGCAACCATATAAAAAAAACCCAACAAACCCAAAATAAAATTATATTTATATGGCTGTTAAGTAGGGGTGGAGCACCCGAAGCCTTATCTTCTCGTGATTTAAATCCCAGGCAGCGTTCCCTTTGGAAACGACACCAGATGGATGCCAGGGGGCAGCTCAAGGTCATCTAAACCCCACGTCCCGGCTCCAAACTGTAAGCGTGATCCTCGTGAACCACACAAAAACCACCCACGGAAATTCAATCTCTGGGGGACCCTCCTAGAGAGCACTTTCCCCCCCCCCGACCCCAAGGGCGAGGAGGCAAACAGCCCTGATTTAAAGGTGATACAGCAGGAGGGAAACCAATCTCTGGGGGACCCTCCTAGAGAGCACTTTCCCCCCCCCCACCCCGAGGGTGAGGAGGCAAACAGCCCCGATTTAAAGGTGATACAGCAGGAGGGAAACCTCTTGGCATCGTTGGAAAAGCGCATTTTATTGCCGTTGCTTTGTAAATACGCGCTTTGGAAGAATTCATGGTTTTAGGAGCCAGATGGTTGGTTTAATATCACCTAATTCTAGGCGAGTGGCTCACCTGCAGCTGGGGGCACAAAGCTCATTCCGACAGAGCTGCACCAAAATATTCACAGAATCACCGAATCTTCTAGGTTGGAAGGGACCTCAAAGATCATCTTGTCCAACCGTCAACCTAACTGACAAAAATAGACACCCACACAACAAACAAGGAGCATCATCACTAAACCAGACCTCCCAGCACTACATCAACCCGGCTTTTGAACCCCTCCAGGGATGGGGCCTCAACCCCCTCCCTGGGCAGCCCATTCCAATGGCTGAGAACCCTTTCAGTGAAAAAATTTTTCCTAATATCCAGCCTGAACCTCCCCTGGGGCAACTTGAGGCCATTTCCTCTCGTCCTGTCGCCTGTGACTTGAGAAAAGAGACCGACCCCCACCTCTCTACACCCTCCTTTCAGGGAGTTGTAGAGAGCAATAAGGTCTCCCCTCAGCCTCCTCTTCTCCAGGCTGAATAACCCCAGCTCCCTCAGCCTCTCCTCATAAGACTTATTCTCCAGACCCCTCACCAGCTTTGTCGCCCTTCCCTATACCACATCACCTGCTGCCAAAACAATCTTATTTACAACTCCCCCAGTTTGGGGTATTATTTTTATTTATTTTTTTTTATGAAACTACTTATACTCGAAGTAATAATTTCCTTACATCAGCAGGATTAAAGATTTATTTTAATAGAAAGAAATAAATGTCACTACTGAGTAATAGATAACCGGGTGTGCGCTATTTTTACCCTTCCCTGTCTCCTCCTGGCTCGAGGGGACGGCTCGACCTCTACGGCGGCGGGTCCTCAGCACCTGGGAGCAGCCCTGTCACTCCAAGCTTCAGCTTCTGCACCAAATATGGCCTTTTAAACACAAAAAAAAAAAGAAAAGAGACATTATAGAGTTAAGAGAGAGGTTGTTAATTAACTCTTTAACAAGGATAACAGGCTCTTTTACACTAGAGCGCAGCACGGAGGTTGGCCAACATTTCTTAGTTATTTTTTTTCTTCTGCCATCTTTGATGTAGCCATGCATCCTTCCCCTAAATTATCATTTTTTTACACCTTTTATCAGCTATCACTCAGCATTCCTACTTTTTCTTGTGCCTCTTCTCCCCCCACAAAGTTTGGGAAACGCCAGTTTAACCAGCTCACGGTAAAGACTAAACCAAAACACCGAGGGAAACACTTCCACTTGTCCTTTTTTCCTTAGATGGAGACAATTAACCTTTCCATTAGGACAGAGGTGGTATTTTCCAAAGAAATCCAGGGTTTTTTGGCAACAGAAGGTCTCCTAAGACTAATGGATTAGTCTGCTGAGCCGGTACATCTGCCGACTGGCGCTAACACCCCGTTTCCAAAAGGATGTGGGAACGTGTATCGGGGCAAGAATATTCAGCCAAACAATTAAACTGGGCCCCATTGGGAGATTTCCGGGGAGATCTGTTAAGTGTCTCTTTTCACAAACCTTTTTCCGTGGCTCGAGGAAACGGCGAGGCCTCAAATCACTGGGAAATTTCAAAATATTTGTTCCTCCAGCGAGGATTATGTAAACGCCAGGAGCGAGTCCTGCCGAGGAATCTCTCCCTATGTAGGTCAGGAAAAGGAAAGGCAACTTCTACCGAGTCTTGCGAGGGAACGAAAACGACACAAATTGAAGTGGATTTTTAATTTTCCTGCCCCTTTCCCCCTCGAGCAGCAAGAGATTTTTCCAGATGTAGAGAAAAAGCAGCGTTTGCAGATATGTACAAAAGTTTTATTTTACAAACGGCGACTACTTTTTGGATAACAAAATTGCAAAAACATAGACCGACGTTAGAAAAAACCAGCCGAGGGGTACATTTGTCTCTCTGAAACACGATTTAACAGAATTCATTAAGTAAAAATACTCCCCTCCCTCCCTCCCTCCCCAGCCATCGCCCAGATGGAATTTCTTCATAAAGCTTTAATTCAAGGTAGGAAATGGACAGAGATGACATTGCAACAATTTTGGACAACTGCAATGAATTGATTGATCATATTTCTGTTATTTTTAAGGCCGGAGAAAGGTAACTGAAATATGACAAAGTCTGATTCTGAAGCAATTTCTTCCTCTAAAGGTGCTGAATGGAGACGTTCATACTTGTCTATTTTGTTATAGCACTAACCAACTAGTTCTGTTTTTTCAGTAAGGGAAGAAACAAGTTACTTTTGTACTTAAAACTATGAAATGGCAACAAACAGCACCTGGAGTTAGGAATTCTGCCTTTGTTCAGGACACTGGAATGGCTGCTACTCTTAGAAATGTGTGTAAATGGGCATTGACTGGAGTCATAAATGCACTGATTGTTAAAAAATAAGAAGCTTACAAAATATTGATTCCAAAGGGTTACGTGCACACATTTTCATTGAGCTACAAGAGTAGGAAGGGTGTAAATCCAGCCTTTTGGGTTCTTCTAGAAAGTGAAAAACTTGTGACAAATTCAGTTTTAGGAACTTGGGTACAAATGTCTTGTTCAGCTGTTCACAGAGAGAGAGGAAGGGCATCACCCCACTCTTCAAACTTCACTTGGAACTTTTCTTTTCATGTTTCAGTAACGCACCAAAAGCTCATTTTGAGTAGTTTCTTTCAATCAAAAAGAGACAGTATGAACTGATGTCTAAGCCAGAAATTACCGCTTTTAATTTTCAAAGCTGCTGGGTCCTGATGAGATTTTAAAAAAAAAAATAAAATATAATTTTCAATATTTGAAAACATTTGAGAAAATGAAAGCATCTCAAGATATTACAGAAAGTCAGTAATGAAAACCATTATAATACAACAGTGTTCATTAGCTCTAATAAAGCTACGTTAGTCTGGTTTGTTTTTTTTCCACTACAGACCCCAGTTTTCAGGTTATGTTATGCCATTAAAAAAATCTGTTTCTTAGTACAGAACTTTCTAAACATTGAAAAACTTTACAAGTTATTGTAAATCAACTCAATCAGAATATTGCAAAAATTACTCAACGCTCTTCAGTTTAGATCTACGGGGGTTTTTTCCAAACCATTTACCTGCAACATGGAGTCATTTTTGGTATTAAACTTTACTTTGAAAAGTATTGCCCGTGCTTTTTATCAGGCAAACCAGTATTTTTGGAGTCATATCACTTGAACAATATATAGTTCAGTATCTGCAATAGCAATATCCAATATTCCCTGTGGCAAAGGGGATACACCTACAGACATTTTATAAAGGAACCATTATGGTTTGTTTTCTCAAAAAAATTATCATCACGTAAGTTTTTTTAAAAAGTGTTTTGGACAAACTCATGATATACAGAACAGTTTATAACATTCAACTTCAAAATGTGTTGAAGTACACCACGCAACGTATTTTGAAATGAAATGCAGAAAGTGTTTAGACACACTTTTTTTAGACTCTTAAGAACATTGTTGCTTATCACAAAATTAACTTTTAAACCGAAAAGTTGAGATAAGTTGGATATGAAACTCCTTCATTGCACTTTTGCTCACTTCTTGTCAGTTTGACAATCCCCAGGGTGGATAATCTCCCCCTTTTCAGGAGAGTTCTGTGAGATCCCGGGATGGGAAGGATTAAGACAGAGCGGCAGTCTTTGTGTTCATCACCCAGCTGCTGTGGTTATGCTCTAGATAATGCAACAACCAACGAACAGGACAGCATGGAACCCACCTTCCAGCATTTAAAAAAGAAAAAAAAAACCCAACATTTTAATAAACTAGAAATGGCAGGCTTGGAAAGAAGTTTTCTTCACAGTTTTATAGTTGCTAACACATATTTAACAGTTACAGGCAGAAAGCCCCAAGGTGTTTGTAACCGGACTTGAAGACTGTACCGATTGCTGCAGCTGGAAAAGCAGCAGCAGCAAATTCACCCAAGTGTTGCTCATGGCTTGGAAAATCCAATTCAAGGAAATAAAACTGGTGGGGTTGTTTTTTTCCCCCTCTTTTGTAAAAGTAGCATTTGACATAAAATCAAAAATCAGTTGAGTTGAGCTCAGTACTTCTCTCCGTAAGTGCACAGTCAAGCGAGTTCACTGGGAAGTTTCACCTAACTCGGTAAACACCCTTCAACTTCACTTGCCACACTGTCAAAACAGGTGTGTTTTGTTGGTTTTTCTTAAACATAACACTCAAAATTATTAAATACAGTTTCCATCATCAAAGAAATGTTTTCAGCTGTATCTGCTGCTTTCACTGGGACTTCGATTGTTAGAGTAACTGCGATCGCTCTCACTGTCGGAGCCGTAAGATCTACAAAGAGAAGATTAAAATGCTTCAAAATTGCTTTTGGAACTTCAAATTCAAAATTGCATCATGTAAAAAAAAAAAAAAGCTGTCAAAAGAGACACACACGAGACAAGAAGAAAACAATACAAGTCTATCACAGAATCATATTTCATGTAACTGAAACATTAAGGGACACTCAAAATAATCATTACTTTCGTGTGAGGAAATCCCTGTGTAATTCAAGTCAAACTGCATTTGTAACCACAAAATTTCTTGCTTTCTCTGATACAGCTAAGAAATCATCCAAAATGACTGGTTTTGTAAGGGCTAATCACTGACTGAGAAGTATATTCTAGCAAATATAATTTTTTATATATATGTATAATTTTATATTGCAAGTGCTTCTCAACAAAGACAATTTCACAAATCCTTGCTTTATATGTTACAGTTTTTCACTCAAAGAAGGGTCTTAAGGCTCCTTAACACCACCAGGAGTGTGTGAGTGTCTGCAGAGTGGAAGTCAGAGATTAAAATGTTTTGGCTTCTCCAGAAGAATCCCAAACTCAGCACCTTGGGATTGGCCAAACATCAAGACAGAGTCCAGACGGTCTCAGACAAGGCACAGGACACATTTAAATTACACAGAATAAACTTTTATTAGAGATTTTCTAGCCTCGTGCCTGGAAGGAAAGCTTTCTAAATGAAAGACAAGCACATCCTAATCCAACATTGTTTCTCTGAAGCTTCCCAACATCCTAAACCAATGATTTTGCAAGTCTCTTTCCACACCCTTGCTTAATCTCATTAATTTCCCCTCAAACACGAGATGAAAGTTGTTTTAGTGTCAGAACTAGATGTGGAAATGTGTGAGAGCAAAGTCCACTAAGAGTGGGTACAAAGTTGCAACAAAATGACTCCGAGGACAGGAGAGGATGAAAATTTACAGTAGTCTTAAAGATCTGCCTGATTTACCACTAAGATGGAGATGGAAGTTGTTTTAGTGTCAGAACTAGATGGGGAAATGTGAGAGCAAAGTCCACTGAGATTGGGTAAAAAGTTGTAACAAAATGACTCCAAGGACAGGAGAGGATGAAAATTTACATTAGCCTTAAAGATCTGCCTGATTTACCACTAAGATGGGACATTTTAAAAAGTCACTGATATTCAAAAAAACTAATCTTCATCCTGTTCCACTTCCAAACTTTGTGAGATGTGCTCCCTTACACCTGGGCTGAGGAGAATTAAACTGATCCAAAATTCATCAGAAGCCCACTGGATTTGCAAGTAAAATATTCTTTCAAAATATATTCTAGGAAGTTAAGAATTGCTATCCAGAATTAATTTTTAATTTCCCTTCCAGATTTTTTTTTTTAAGTCCACCTTTGCAGTCTAGCTAAAAAAAATTTACCAGCCAATGGAATTTTTGCATGCCAGGTAGCTTTTAATCCCTTGATTTAAATCTCAAGGGCTAGTTCGTTGTAGTTTTTAAAAAATTAAAATTATTAAAAAAACCCAGACACGCTTATTTTGAATGCACAGATACAATGAACTGGAGCCTTCTCAAATCTTTATAGGATTTCTAGATAGAGCTTACCAGGGAAACAAGGGGTTTTTTCCCCCATCCTCAAGTTTAGTTCATGTCAGAAATTCTAATTTCCTTACACGCTTGCTCTAATTCTAATTGTTTTTAATTACTACATTTGGTAACAATGTTTATTTTATGTTTGGGGGAAAAAACCCCAAACAGTTAGCCTTCATAATAGTTTTAAGTATGTATTTATCACCTTCTTTTGCATAAATAGTGTCAGAGCCACAGAGGCAAGGTCATACCTGGATCTCCTGGTGTAACTCCTGGATCTCCGATAGCTGTCACTCCTTTTACTCCTGCTTCGACTCCTGCTGTAGTAACTGTCGTACGTGTACGACCTACTTTAAAGGGAAAAGAAAGTCATTGTAAATCTACAATTTCTTGTTTGAAATGCTTTTTACTTTACAGGCATGTTTTAAAGACATTTATATACAGGGATAAGCGCCTATATAGGAGTTACTTTTGAAGGATGCGGCGAACAGAATAATTCTACATTTTACAAAAGTTTAAACGCAAGAACAAGGACGTTCAGAACAACAGTAAAAACCTCGAGATTTAATCTAGAAAAGACTTAGTGTTTAAAAAGTTTGGTGTTTTCTCTACAAATTTTAAACAGAGTAGGAATCTTGTCTGCTGATACTTCTGAAAACAAGTAACAAAGTGATTCCATTTATAACTCCATTTTATTTTAACAATTAAGGGAAATGTGTTTGCTATTACTGATCTCATACCATCACCTAGAACTGTGATGCCAGGACGATTTGCTTATTTTCAGCTTTTGAAAGTATCTTATGTTGATTTTGCTTTGATTTAAGCTGACATCACGATACTGCATTTTTAAGTCCCATAAAGAGGTGTTCTTATACTAAGATATTTTTAAAATACGTACATTTATTGCGGAGTTTGCATAAAACTATATTCCATACCTGGATCGACTGTGATGACCGTAAGAACTACTTCTGGATCTACTTCTACTGTAGGTTCGACTGGCAAAAACAAGAACACAGAGATATTTTGTCAGAAACAAGTGCTGAAGAGAGCTGGGGGAGAAGGGAGCGAGAGGAGAGGACCACGTTTTGCTCAGAATTCCTTATCCATACTGCAAGCATCGGGCTGTTGTGCCCCCATTTACTGATTTTGTAATACAGCCCACCCACTACCTCCAGTTGGAGACACTCACCTACGACTCTTGTAACTGTGGTAAGAACTGCTTCGACTTCTCGACCGGTCTCTACTGTACCATCCTCTGCTTCGGCTTCTTGTATAGCTTCTGGACCTACAAGCAATGAACAACTTTGAAAAGCACAAAGTAAAATCACAGAATCACAGAATCTTCTAGGTTGGAAGGGATCTTAAAGATCATCTTGTCCAACCGTCAACCCAACTGACAAAAATAGACACCCACACAACAAACAAGGAGCATCATCACTAAACCACACCTCCCAGCACTACATCAACCTGGCTTTTGAACACCTCCAGGGATGGGGCCTCACCCACCTCCCTGGGCAGCCCATTCCAATGGCTGAGAACCCTTTCAGTGAAAAAAATTTTCCTAATATCCAGCCTGAACCTCCCCTGGTGTAACTTGAGGCCATTTCCTCTTGTCCTGTCGCCTGTGACTTGAGAGAAGAGACCAACCCCCATACAATACAACTGAAGAGAAGAGTAGCAAAAAACAGGACACAAAAGCAGTATAAAGCTTTATCTTTTAAGCCGAGTATTTATTCCATACTTGCTAAATGTGCTGTTTGAAAGAAAAACGTGAGTAGAAAATGCTAGAACTTTCAAGTCAGCACGGTAGGCTGTGAGAGCAGCACAAACTTCTTACCTATATGAATATGTAGAACTTCGGGATCGACTTCTTGAGTGACTGTAAGAGATGGACCTCGTTCTGTGCCTGGATTTCGACTCAGACTTACTTCGGGACCTGCTGAGGCTCCTGGACGGGCTGTTGTCATCTCTACTTGGTGATTCTTCCTCACTGGAACTTTCTTGATTCCTTGGCCTTCGGTTTAACCGTGCTGTTTTTCTAACCTCGTCAAACAGAGACCCAGGCCTAACTTTATTTTTAGCTTTTATTTCGATTCTTAAACCTGCTGGTTTAGGCTCTGGTGCTGAAGCTACGTTCTTAACTTCTGCAGCAGTACTAATTGTTGCTGGCTGTAAATTACCAACACCTTGCAAAGGCTTCCATTTATTGTCGATTATATTGCTTTGTGTATTTTCAGTAATTTCACTTTTTGAACTACAGTCTTTAGCACTAGACACGGGGACAGAGTTATTTTCTTGCTTTCCCGGTTCTTTTTCTTCTTTAATATTAATAAAGTCTATAATATTGTTTCCTAATTTGACAGTATCTTGTTCCGGGGGCTCCACCTGTAAATCTTTGTTTATACTAGCACTTAAAGCCTGAGGTTTAGCAGTGAGAATGACAGGAGACAAAACGTCCACATCGACCTTTCCTGGGGAGTTACGATCCGGAGTACAGATCTCCATGTTGTCATCTGTCTGAATAACATCTTCCAACCCGTTCTGGTTACTCTCTTCAGCTGGTTTAACTTCATTCTGACAAACAGTCACATTTATTCCTGAGTTTGTAACACTGGTTGAAGCATTTGTTTCAGTGCCATCTTTATCATGGTTACTGCGATCCGGTGAGGCATCACATAGAGAGTTTTTACCTAAAAGGCTTTCATCTGCACAAGACTTTTCACCATTTCCTATTTTATCTTTGACTATTTCGTCTTTTTCATGAACTTGTTTTTTCTCCTTTATGTCCTTGGTAAGCTGCTTTTCTTCTTTCTCATCCTTGGTAACGGGCTTTTCATTTATCTCCTCATCATCTTCCTCACCAAACTCCAGGGGGGGTTGCCAATGAAACATTTCTTTTCTTTTCTGAACTTTGTGTTTCTTCTCCTTTTTCCCTTTGGATTTTTCTTTTGCTTTTTTGGAATGCGATTTCTTAAGAGTTTTTTTCAAGCCATGTTTGTGTTTTTTTGACTTGCCTCTAATGTTTGTTGAGCTAGAACAAGAACTCTCCGATTCAGAAGACGACAACTGTTTGCTCGCCTTCCAGGTACCATCAGAATCCAGAAAGCCTTCTGAAGAATTTGATTGTTTTTTGATCCTTCTGCTAACACTAAGCTCCGTATCAGATCCCGATGAGGCCTCTCCTTCTTCTTTACCAGAGGAGGCTCTGGAATCTCCCCTATGATGCCTTGCCTCTCCCCTTTCAGAGTTTGATTCCGAGTCCCATTTACTACCTGAATAGGATTTTCGTTTCGTTTTTGCACCACCTCTAGGTTGCTCAGAGGATTTCTCCTTGGCTGCTTTCTTTTTAGCCTGCTCAGAATCCCGCTCGCACTTGGATTTCTCTTCCCTTCTCTCAGAACTTAAGCTATTTTTATCCTGTTTCTGGGTATCTCCTTCTAATTGAAAACGGCCTTCTTTTTCTTGGACACCTTTCGCTTTGGCAGAAGGCTCACTGTCGGTGGAGAAGTCTGAAGATGACAAACTGTCACTCTCTTTCAGTCCTTGCGAGGACTCGTCATAGTCTTTTGCACACTTATAAGGGAGAGTACTTTCAGAGCTCGTTTCTTGCCTCACTTGAAGAGACCGAGCTTTTTGACCACTCGATGCAGATTTTCTCTTGTTCCTGTGTCTGTCGTCATCACTGAGGGAATAATAAGACGTTGACTCACTATAACCCGACCTGTCACTGCGGTATTTACTCACCGATGGGGATCTGCCAGAAGAACGTGATTTTGTCCTAGAGCTGGATGGACTTCGAGACCTCGTGTAAGATCTGGTGTATGACCTGCTTCGAGAAGACCTGCTCCTTGACCTCAGCCAACTATCTGAGCTCCTGTCACTACGGGATTTGGAATAACCGCTTCGATCGCTGTCCGAACTCCTTTGTCGCTTACGATACGAGGAAGTAGTGTTAGCCTCTTTAATGACTACTAAATTGTAATTAGTTTGGGTGGGTACTAAATGGGTTGTTTTAGCTTTCATTTCCTGAATCCGCTCATAGGATGGCTTCCAGGGTTTCTGCCCAGGTTTCCACCTGGAAGGTGGTGGACTATCACTTAGAGGGATAACAGGGAGGTTTTCCGGGACAACTGGCGGTACGACAATTTTATCACTGGGGAGTATAACTGCTCTTACAGGCTCAGCACTCTTGACCAACTTGTTCTCGTTTAACCGTGTTGAGATATTTCGTGGAGAATTGGAAACCGTCTTTTGATGCCTTGGGTTAGAACTTGACCTTGACCTACTTCGAGAACGCGACGATTTAGATGCTGATCTTGATCTAGAACTTCTTCGGGAGTAAGATCTTGATTTAGACCTCGATCTGGACCTGGACCTGTAGTATGACCGAGTCCCTCTGCTTGATAACGTTGATGAGCTCTGGTCTTCCTTATCAGATTTTGACCAGTCTCTTCTGGATGAACGTCTGGAAGACAATGAAGAAGAACGAGATTTCCTTTCACGATCACAAGATGATTTTGTCCTCCTGAGGAAGGAATGAGAGGATTCTACGTCTGATGAGGCTGATGTTTTCTTTTTTTTCGCTTGTTTGTGCTTCTTGAAATGCTTCTGCTTTTTAGATTTCTTTTTGTGTTTCACCTTCTTTTTCTCTTTTCTGTGTTTTTTGTGATGGCTAGAATATCTCACAGTACTTAGATCAGAATAACCGTTATGTGACCAAGATCTTGATCTCCGGGACGCACTTCTATCATCCCACCTGCTTGTACATGGGTCACTCAACCTAGAAAACAAACAAACAAACCCCACAGTAAACAGAAATTCTTTAAAAACTTCAGACAAATGAAGTATTTTCCCCACTTCCAATGCAATTAAATTTTAAAAAAACCCCAAACAAACCATTTCTCCCCTGTTTACCAGACAACTGTGTTGTAACTGAGCTTCTTGCACTCGTTTTAAGATATGGAATTAAATCACTATCAAGAGACCTACTTCTCTATAACAAGTGCATCAGCCAACACGAGAAGATTTTGCATACTGTAGAACACGTGTAAAGAGATTTAATGTTTCAACTACTCTACTCCATAGGATTTTGAGCTCTATAACTATAGGATTCATAAAGATCATTTAAATACAAATTTTAAAACATCATCTTATTTAGTATTCTTGTAGCTGGTACACTGTAATACAGCAATAAACTGAACCTACTCAGTATATAAAAAGAACTACGAGTAATATTATTATTATTATTAATTATTCAATGATTACATATAATATTCTTCAGCCTTTTGAGGCTTATCTATCATAATACTAAAGAAGAGCTTCTATCAAATTAAGTCATCATTTTCCTTTTGAGGCTTATCTATCATAATACAAAAGAAGAGCTTCTATCAAATTAAGTCATCAGAAATTCTGGGGAGTTGGCTTCCATCACAGAGTTTCCAATTGCAGAAAGAATATATAACTAAAGCAATATAGGATTGGTGGATTTAGGATTGGTGGATTTGTTTGTCTTGGTATCCAAAGCAACCACATAACCAAGTTTGAGGCCAAAGGAAATCTGAAGTGACTGGCTCTACAGAAAGCAACAGGAAACTGGACAGGTCAATTAATTATTCCTTAAATAAATACCCAAGATGGCACCATCAGAAACAACTCTTCTGACTTTCTCACACTTTTCAGCATGTTTGTCTAGTGTCACATTGAAAGTTTTCCACTTCTTATTTTTGGAATTTAACACGAACGTGTTAACCACAAAGATATTTACATTTTTTTATTCAAACATGAACGACATGGTAGATCTACACTATTAAAGCTTGTGTAAAAAACCCAGGACATTTAGAAAGTTGTAGTAAGGATCTTACTTATCTCCTTTACTCCACTTTTCTCCACTGGGTGGTCTGTAGGTTCGTAGTCTCTGCATTTCCTCTTTCCAGTGAGGAGGGGTCTCGCTGCTCTCATCATCATCGGACTCGGAACACGATCGCGATCGAGGTGGGGTGTGATATCGCTGTCAAAGCAAAAAAAGATAGTTGGGTAAGATGTTTTTCTTTAAAAGAGACTGGAGAATACAGAAAATATGCTGTGCCTCTTCCACAGATTTTGCACGCAACTCCACGACACAAGTCAGACATCATCATCCACACCAAGTCCAGGAAGAAAACATAGATTCTAGGTTTCCTGCCTAAAATACCCACTTTTGGTACGTATCTATCCCACACGAGACCAGATTATGTAGCTAATTGTATCTTTTAAACTCTGAGAGCATTTCACAAAGCTTGAGAGGGGCCAACAGCTAAGCCATTTTTTCAAGAGATGAAAGAAAGAATCAAGGGAGAGGTCGTGGTTTCCCTTTAAGTAACACCTTCTGGAATAACACAATTACTGCAGATAATCAACTGGTTTTTTCAGGATGCTGAAGCCCAGATGTTTCACTTCAGTTAGCAGACACTTAACTGCTTGTATGAGTAAAGACGAGCTGTATTTCAAAAATTACTGCTGTTCAGCTCTTCAGAAATGGGAAACCAGTTTAAAGCACGTTCCAAGCAATAAAAAAGAAAAAAATTAAAAAATTATCCTTAGGCACAGCATTTAAGTAGGCAATAAGAGCTACTTGTGCCACAGAGAAAAAACTCTAATATTGCTAACTCATTATTTTCCATTACCCAGCTGGATACACACTTAGGTAAATTCTATGAAGAAATTAGCTGCTCCTTGACTCAATAAAGAAAAACCATCTGGATTTTACTCAATTATTTCGAGCCACTTCTAAAAGCAAGCAATACGTGCCCACCAGAAATAAATAAATAAAAAATATAAAAAAGATGCATGTATTGGTTTACTCAGTTAATTACAGGCAAAGTCTTTAAGACACCCTGTTTATACAAAAAATAAATAAAGAAACAGCCATGAAGATTTGGAGCTTCCCTATTCTTTGTGCTGAAGCAACGAATACTTAAAAAACAGATTATTTTCATTCTTAATTTTGCCAAGAGGGTGCCAAAACGATGAAAAATGAGACACAGACACCCAAACCCCTGGCAGAAGCCAATTCCAATCAGCTTTAAGCTACTTTTCCTGAAGTCTTTATTTACAGAAGTTTTTCAAAACATTCCATTTAAGAGACTTCTTTCAGTGGATATCACAAGTGCCAAATAGAAATGAAAGCTGTCAGTCAGCAGAGACAGATATCAGATTTAATGTCAATGCTGGCAAGTACAGGTTGGTTCTCAGGTGAGGCTCAGACACTACAATACCTTGGTCTGTGCTTGGGGGCCACCTGAGCTGTTAATTTTGTGTCTTAAAATAATTGCATCACGGGGATCAGTAGCAAAGTACTTCTCAAATCCAGTGACCAGCAAGAAAATCACACTCAGAGGAGTCTCAGTTAAGACCATTCTAATGAAAACTGTCTTCAGCTAAAGAGATATTGTTATATATAAACGTGGGGGCTTTTTTGAGGACTTTCTCTTACAAAAAAAAAAAAAAAATTATTCTATGTTTGAAGATTTCTCGTAGCTGAGGAGTAAGCATTTGTGTTCCCAAACAATCTTTAAGTAAAAGGAGATCAAGGATGGGGACAAAAGCATTATAAAATGAACTACTTGACAACAGTATTTCAACCTTCTAAGATAGAATCTGCAACATTCAACAATAGCTAAAGCGTCACACAAAGTCCCCAAGGAAATTCAAAGCTCAAGGTCAGAGAAGATATTCTGGGTGAAAGAAAAAAAAAAAAATAAGTTGTCACATACTATTGTGCCTCTTCCTTTAATTTTTCGTCCGGATTTAGAGACCGATGGTTTCTGGTCAGTCAGAGCTGGTGTAGCATCCAGAAGCTTCCTGCATAAATTAAAAAAATACGAGTTTACATGGAAAAAAAAACACAAATAAATTAATTTTAAATTATTCATGCAAAATATTCATCTTATTCATTTACTTTGAGATGGTAGAATTAAGAATTCAGTGAATTATCCAAGAAATAAAGGAAGACACCCATGCAATGGAAGGCAAATCAACATATATTTACTTTCAACTAAATTGTAGCCCATCTGAAGTCTCTACATGGAAATAAATGCCAACCATGAACTTGCAAAGTACTCTGTTAAACTGGTCCATGGCTTTTCCAAAGAGGTTAACTTGTGTTTGGTGCACAAATCATGAAGACAACATGGGCAGAAGAATTTCAGGATCTCAGCAGTTACACAAAGATGCCTTAGGGTAGGGAATGGCAATTCAGGAGAGTTTGCAGACTGTGAAGCTTTGCTCCTTTCCTAAGCAGTAAGAGGCAATTCTCCTTTCCACACTTTGTGTAATATCCTCAAAAGAAGTTACTAAGGCTTTGAAACGTGAGCAAAGTGATGTTTCAAGAAAAAGCTTATAGGAGACTATTAACTGAAATTAAAGAAACCCCAAACTGATTTTTAGAGCTATCTGGCAATGTAATGGATTAACATCTGAGTCCTAAACCAAAGAAATTTGATAGCAAAAGAAGCCAACTGCAATTTGGTAGAGGTGCATAACACAAACTAAAAGTAGCTTGTGAACTCATAACTGCCTTTGAATCAAAAGAAGACTATTTTCTCATATTCTAAAATCATAGACAGACCATAAAATTCTGGTTGACTCATTTTGAACCAAAGTTTCTTCTTCTCTCTAAGAAAGATGAAAAAAAATCACCTCTCCCAATCAAGTCTACCCCGTGATCAAATATTTGCTGTAATTTACATTGCAAAATTATTCACTCTTTTTTTTTTTTGCAGCATCTGTAATTGAGTTGTAATGTATGTGATCCTTAAGGACCAATGAAACTGACTCACTAGATCGTGCTGAAAAACCCTGACACAGGTTGTAAGGAATATTACAAGGAAAACTGTAAAAAAGGACAATTAAATTATCTCATTTAGAAATATTGACACTACAACCATCATTTGCTACTAGTAACAGAATATTAGAAGGAGAATTATGGCATGGTTTCCAAGTCAACATAATAAGAAAGCTCAAGGATTCTCACGGTTCGGGCTCCACGCTGACAACAGGCACATCTCTTCTGAGCAAAAATCTGTTTTCAGGCACTGGGGGTATTTCTTCAGGACGTACCACAGGTTTGTCCCTCTTTGTGCTGACATCAGCTGCTCTTTCTGTTGTATCACTCTTGTCAGAAAGGCTGCTATGGGGAAAAGCAAGTTGAGAAATAAAAATTAGCTGGCAATTCACAAACAATGTTTTTCCAAGCCGATTCTGAAACAAGCCCACATGATGCATCAATCTTTAGGATGGCTTAAAAACCATAAAGTGTTTCACTAACAACCCCTTTTAGGCTAAAGAAAGGATGGTGGACTATGTTTGGAAAGAAGTTCAATTTCAGCTTTACAGCAATTAATTTCGCTTTTAATTTGGCACAAAATATTTAAAAAATATAAATCAAAGATCTCTTAATTTGCCTGTCTCACTGTAACATAAGCATAGCGAGTCCTAAATACTCACATACTGAGACTTACTTCAAAGTTGCTCCAGTTGTTTATCTGTCTACAAAGATACTGTTTCACAGAAGCACTACCCAACAAGCTCTTTATCTGTCTACAAAGATACTAAACTGTTTCACAGAAGCACTACCCAACAAGCTCAGCTTTTTATTGTTTGATTGGTTTTGTTTGTTTATAGAAACCAACCATCAAAATCCAAACCGAAATAAAAGCATTTTCAGATTCAGTACTTAAGTACTTCATAAAAACAAAGAGGAATTTCTCAGATTTCTCTGAAATTCTTAAATTTAAGAGACTAGTCACCGTCTTTGGTTTGAGGTTCGCTTGCACCTTGAATCCTCTTTCTTTCTCTCTTCCTTTCTTCGTTTTCTCGATTGTTTGGTTTTAGTTCTTCTTTTACGTTTCCTCCTTCTGCTTCTTTCATTTTCAGCTTCGCTGTCAGAAGAAGTTTCTGAAGAGCTTGATGCACTGGAGGAAGAGTCTGAAGCTTCCGAGTCAGAACAGACTTTCTTCTTCTTCTCCAAAGCTTAAAAGAGACAAATTAAATTTACAGCGTGTTCAAATGTGTGTTATGGTTATTGTGGTTATTTACAGCACAAAATATACCATTTCATATACGTATAAACACCCACACTGCACCAGAGGAGCTCTCTGGATAAACTATGAATTTTTTTCACAATGGATTACATTAAAGTCTCATATAATTGTGTCCAGTCTAAACCCCTATCAACAAAATGATACAAGTATATTTCAGCAAAGACAGTTGTAAAAAAATTTCTTCAATTGCAATGAATTGAACTGGAAGAATTTCCACACACAACTTCCACCCCGTAAGACAATGTAAGAACATTTTGGGAAATCACACATGGTAACTTTATAACTGAAAATTAACATCAATTTGTGCCAAGCTAATATAAAGAAAGGCTGAAAAATAAGTATGAATTTAAGAAGGAGCGTTCCCCCTGTTTTCTCCTTTGAAATCTATTTTAGGTTATAACACCAAATTCCCACCTTTGGGTTAGAATAAATTCAAGATAAGCAAAGACCATTTGTAGTAAAAAAAAATAGTAGTCTCTTTAGAAAGCAATGGACATGTTATAAAACAAAGTTTAAGGAAGAGTTAGTCACATCCTTAGTTGTATATTTTTTTTATTTCTAAAACTTCATCATTCTCTCCTTTCTGCATCCTCACACTTTTATATTTTTCTACCCTCCTGATTTTCTCTAAAGGACATAAATAACTATGTTATCCTCAAGGAAAGTTAAAAGTGGAGTAGAAAATTCAAACTTATAACACTCCACTACTTTACAACCACTATCTAAACATATATTTAAGATCATTTATTTCCTATGAAAAGGAAAATTACGCTGATGACATATACCACATGGGTTAACATTACATGACCTTAGAATAAAGCTTTGGAAACTGCAAAAAAATTCAACTTCAAGAAAAGCTTATGCTTTTGTCTCCATCTTTCAAAGTCAGAAAAATAAGTTCCAATTACTTTCTGAGTATGTCACATTAAGGAGAATTAGAGGCAGGGATACATTTTCCATGGAGTAAAGGTTTAGGTCAGAAAACCTTTTCCCTTGCTGTGCCTTCCTCACCTACACCAAGATTTAAGTTTTAAAGGCTTGGAGGAATTAATTAAGATTCTAGAGATTTAACATAACGATTTTTAGATAGTGTAATTTTTTTATACTCTCTGAAAACCATGTCAACATTTAATTAACTTCAGCCAGACGCGTGCTTACCATCTTTTGCTGATTTTGTGACAAGCACCCCACAGTCAATAACTCGTACATCTGCATAGGGCCTACTTGCAGTATCAGTTTTCAGATTTTCTATTTGCTCTATTACTTCAAAACCAGAAATAACCAGGCCAAAGACAACATGTACGCTGCAGAAATAAAATATTTGGAAAGTACAAACATTTATATATTGCCGTAATTATTTCCCGATGAATTGCAGATTTTAAAAGTCATTCTGAAATAGAAACATTCAGCTTCACTGGTGTTATCTGGCTCTTCAAGTGCATTAAACTTAAATAAGATTTTTATTACTTTTACATTTAGAACAATGCCAAGATTCCATGCAACAGAGATCCACTCCAATTTGAGCGAAATACTTGATGTCATTCTACTCTCTCGTACACGGGCAGGGCAAACAGATCATTGTTTCTAATCCATCCTTCTATTTTTGAAATTTGGTGCAATAAAGAGATCAAGAGGCCATAAATGAAGATGACGAAGTGCAGTTTTCCCTAGAGAAGAAGCTTTTATAGGTCTATACAGTCTCATTCCCACTGGCATCGCAGGGATAGTCATAATTAAGGAATGGCCAGTTTTCTTCTACCACCCCACGTTTCCTTGGCCTCCTTCCATTGCCCCATAAAGTTGTACTTACAGGAACTAATTTATTGTGGGGATAAAAACACACCACAAAAAAAAATAAAAATAGTGCTATCAAATATATTAAACTTGACATTTCAGCGCACTGATTTATGGACCGAGGGCAGCAACTGGTTTTTAAGGAATGAATTTTAGTATTTAAGACCTTCCAAGCTTTTGACCAGCTTTAGGGAATTAAGTTGCAACTTGAAATTTTTATAGAGCTGAAACTTTTGTTTTCCATCTTGTTCTATTGTATAATCTTTCCCAGAATTAAAATTTTGTTTCCCCATTGTCGTCTACTTTCAATGTAACATGTGAAGACTTACAACCTTTTAAATTTTAGCCATCACTGGAGAAAATATAAAGGTTTCTTACCCATCGAGATGAGGAGCGGGTTTTGTTGTTCTGTTTGACAAACAGCAAGATGGTAAGATGATAAAAGAAAATAAAAATCAGGGATTCAGATGAAGTAAAAGAGGAGAATGGCAAAAAAAAAAAAAAGAGGAGGTGAAGGTAAGACAAAAAAAATAGTGAAAAAATTCAGTTACATACATGGAACTTAAAAAAACTTTACAAATTATACAGGCAGGCTTTTCTTAAACTTTTACAGGAAATTTGTTTGAAGTTTAGCTAACTGTGCATACTTCAAAGTTGTACCAAGTATCATTTTATGCATGCAATAAATAAGCTGCAGATAAGTGTCTTTAAATCCACATTCAAATATAACTCACTAACATTTTTAATCACAGAGAAGATACAATTTGGCAATAAATATTGGGTAACTAATGGAATTTAAACGTTTCTAAAAATTGTTAGGTTCTTATATTACAAGGTCACTTTAAAGTTTATTTAAAAAAAAAAAGAAGAGAGTTATCACATGTGATAGATTCTTTGCTTTCCCCCAACCCCCTTTTTTTACTCTCCATTTATTTAATCAGCTTCATGACAAATATACAAAGCAATATTTCTGTCTTTAACCAGCAGGACTACAGTGCTCCAGCTCCGAAGCTCCCAGGCTTCCCAACAGCAGCACAAGGGAAGCAGACATTAGCTCCTACCCTATAGCTCACTCCTAGGGAAAAATGCAGAATTCCTCCCTATTTTTCACCTTCCCACATTTACCTGTTTTCTAGCCTGAAGGAGAAATGCAACTGCCTTACGTTTTGTTATCCTAAAGGGCATTTGGAGCCACGCCGAATTACTGAGTTGACTTCAAATTGGAATATTCAAGGCTGTGCATGTGTAATTAGATGTTAAGATTCATTTCTATCATGATACTGCTATGACCTGGTACCTCTAGATCTTCTTCCAAAAAAATAAAGGAAATTATTTCTACAACTAAGCCTGCACAATGTGGCATAGGGAACCTTGCTTTGCAGACAAATTGAGCAAGGAACATCAGATCTTGCATTAACCTTATATATCAGGGAAGAAAATAAAATAGAAGTCAGGATAATTTGCATTAGAAGCTATTTTAATATTTGAAAACATTCTTCCTGTCTCCTCCCTGGGCACTATTTTGCCTTTCTAGTCTTCTTCCAATAAACTCTCCTCTCTCAAAATAAATAATCACAGATGCTTTTTCTAAATTTACAGTAACACAGATGCGGTACGATGAAGTCAGCTTTTCACTGCTATAATAAAATTAAAAAAAAAAAATCTTTACTTAAGTTTTGAACTATTAGGTCACAAACCACTGCAGTGCTGGAATCCATGCCAAAAGATGGGACTGTTACTCAAGTGTGCTTACACTCTTTATTTTTTTTTTTAAGCTCCAAATGCCAGCCAGACCTTCCGCTTCTATGACACTAAATAATATGGAAAACTTCTTTGGTTTAACACAGGGGAAGCAACACTATCAAGATGACATTTAATTTCTCAATAGTAGGGGGTGTCTTTTGTTTTTCCCTTGCTAATACAGCATCTTGCTACAAACAAAAATTCTTACAGCTTTCCATGTTCTTTAAGCAAAAATGAACTGCATTAACAACCTGCTGTTAAGTGACCGGTTTAAGCGGGCTTAATTATAAAGCTGATTGAAAGGAGTGAAAAAACAGAAGTGGGTTACTTCAATGAAACTAGAAATAAAAGAAGACTTGGTGCTTAGAATTAGTTAGAAACAGCAACAGGTTCAAACACACTTGATATGAAGGCTGTAGTCATGTGCTCCAATTAAGCAAATTACTTAAGCGTGTACTTTCTTTAGACTAGTTCTCAATAAGCAAAGAAAGGGACAGTTGGAACAGTAAAACCCACGTAGAGGTTTCTTCCTGTACAGTGACAATTTGATAGATAAAAGGGATAGGATATTTCTCACTTACTTCTTCATGAAATGGAAACACAAGGAAAAGCATTATCCAAAAAGAAAACTTTTCAGAAGCAGGGCAAGGAGGAAGGTAATTTAAACTTCCCATGGAAGTAGAAATCCAGCTCCTCATTGTGCTTTTTAAAGTTTTCTTTTCTCTATATCGGGCTTGTAAGATGACATTCATTTTGCAAATGTGCACTTTAGGAGACCACTTCAAAGTTTTTTTGCGTATGTTCTGCCTTAATCACTCCATAATCAGGAGAAAAGCTACTTACTGCCTTTGAACTATAGAAATCTAGTCATAAGTTCCTCCCCCAAATATTTTATTAAAACAGTTCTATACTTAACTTTCATAATTTAAAACATATATTTTATTAAAGCACTTCTATACTTAACTTTCATAATTTAAAACATTCAAAATCTGCCTTATAGTATGTATTATTATCCAAGTTCTTTACAGAAGGACAAATATCTTTCTTCACTCGAGTTTAAAGTAAATTGGTTTAAGATACTGCTGAAGAGAAAAGCATCTTTTTGATAAAAGCATGTTATCACCCACCCCCAAGAACCTCAGTCCTAACAAAGGATTCAATGCACATAACAATAGGATCAGAAAAACAAGAAAGATAAAAACAGAAAGAAGTAAAAAGGAAAGGACACAGCCTTAGAGGAATGAGACATTACCTTTGGAGCGCACGATGTAACACTGTTTCTGTAAATTTTACACAAAAATGGCAGAAATAAATTGTAATACATTTTCAGACAAAACTGAGTCTACGTTTTATTAAATACAAATTTCAAGTTTAATATTAAATCAAGTTGTATGCAGAACAAGGATGCCTAAAAAGAGGGCTCTAAATTTTCTTTAGGATACAAGGTACTTTGAAAACTACAGCAAGTTCTCCTTAAAACCAAAAAGAAAACCCATAGACATCACCCGCTGGCACACACTAGGACAGAGATGAAGGGTTAGAAAAGAGAATCCTCCCGCTCCCCTCCACGGCTCAAACCACCACCAGTGTTAGAAGCACAGAGCACAACTTTAAGCAGATGAATAACTGGTTTCAATGGGTTTATTCACATGTTTGCAGTTATAAAGGTGTTCAAATGCTCGACCGAACCCAATCCTGAGGATATACTTCACACAGTGGCTTAAACATTTTTATTTACAAATAAAATGCCTTAAGTTAGTAACTACAACTTCATACAGTTCATAATTTGCTGACATCCTCCACGTATTACGAAGCTTTTCTAAAACTGAGATAAATAGGTGTTTTCTCTAAAATACAGGCATTGCTCTTAGATTGCTTGTATTCAAAAATGTAGGAAAAACCCCACGTTGCAGACGCAAAAAAGACCAAACACATGAACCAGCCACCACCAGGCTTTTGCTCCGGTGTAATTCCGAGCAGCAGCAATGTTTTAAAACTGCATTATCAGTTGAGCTCATCCACATTTTTCCCCCCCTCCAAATAAACTCTTACTTCTTAATTGCATCTCTGTTTACCTGAACAGTGACATGATCTGGTTGCTACTTATGACACAGAAAAGCATCCTGTGAACACTCTCACACGGGCTGTGCTTTTTACACAAACTTCTGATCAAGCCAATGGGACCTGCTTGGGTGGTAAGTGCAGAGGTACCACTTTTGCTCAAAGATAATGCAACATCAGCCCCTTTCATTTGAAAATTTTAGGTCTTTACGTTACTGTTAGTTGTTCAAAAATCAGCTCAAAGGCGCTTCATTCACAGTAAAAAAGAAACCCAAAACTGTTGATTAGAAAAATACCTGTTATGGGACACCAAAAAAAACTTTCAATAAGCTGGTAACATTCAGAAATCATTTGTAAAATCAAACAAAAAAAATTCCTCATGATTTATTTTATCCTTCGTTTAGCAGATCAAAGTGGTTAGTCTGTTTGGATTTAGTAATGAGGCATACAAAAAAGTCCTCACAATTTATTTTATCCTTCATTGAGCAGATCAAAGTGTTAGTCTGTTTGGATTTAGTAATGAGGCATGGCACCACACATTAAAAACACTTTTAAAACAAACAAGCTATTTAGTTTTGAGCAAGAGAGCAGAACTTGAGAGACACATTAAACTCGCAGTAACCTCAATGTAGAAAAATAATAATATAAATCTAGCAGTAATTACAAAACAGCCTCAAGTTTTAAATAGCTTTTGGACACAGAGAGAAGAACTCCAAGCATTTGAACTGATAAGGAACCCAACCGAGGCCTCCTCTTTAGATTGTAATAAGGATGTATTGCTCAGTAAACTACATGGCTAAATAACAAGGCAATAAATTAATTATTACACTAAACTTCCCAATGACAACAACAATTTTTTTGCCTCCTATTGCTTTCTTTATGCTTCATTCTGCACAGTCAATTCTATTTTTCTAGTAAGTGTAGCTTGACAGATTCTCGTATGACAATGGAAACAAAGTGAAGCCCATGCAAGGATTTGTAGGATCAGGAGTCTCATTAATTTTATAATTATAATTTTATAGTACTTTACTTTTTATAGGGCTTTATTTTGCATTGTAACTTTCCTTACTAGCAGGTTGGGTATGGCCAAGGGCACGATGGAGTTGCTCTGAAGAGACAAGATACCGTTATCAGAACAGTTTGACTGAGAAGCAGAATAAATGGCCCAAGAAGAACATCACCTACCAAAAAATACAATCACTGGAACATCCAGGAACAGGCTGACTTTTCCTCCCAGACCCTAAATCAGGGACCTAAAGATATCAACTATTTGTGCTCTAGAAGGATTCCCCCACTAACTAATAATAATCATCATCATTATCTCTATGGCAGCAGTTTAAAACAGATATTGGAGCACATACAAAAAGGAAGGTGATTCTAGAGTGGTTCCTGTCAAGCTCTACCTCACCCCATGGATTCCATTTCTGAGGATCAACGTGGAAACAGGACAACTAAAAGAAGATTAACACACTCCGGTGGTGTTTAGAAGACTTGCTAAATAACTGACGGTTCTAAAAGAAGTTATTCACAGAAAAGCAGCAAATTAATAGTGGTGCTACCTAAAAATACAAATAGCTAATTTATAAACTGGGACCTTGCAACTATCTGCAACACAAGCCTTCAGTAAAACGTTACAACAGATCCCTTTGAGTATAGAAAATTAAAATTCCACTATTTCACAAATCTGGATATTTTATAAAAGGATAGTCTCTGTAGCCTTTCTGCTGGATTTCACCAAGATGCATTTCTTCAGACTGAGAAATGTTTCTTAGACACGTGTGAATAGACTCAGCCTATTTAAAGTGCACAAAACCCAATCCTGCCTTAGCTAAACATCCTCCTTTCAACCCTAGGGTTATTCCTATTCAATTTAAAAAACAAGATCAGAAGTGGAGAAAATTACTCAACGAACATTAAACTGACACATAAATATATATATACACACACATATACACACTGGCCTCACTGAAGCTTCCTAACAACACTTACACTCTCTTTTCCACTTTTCTATTGTTGCTTAGAAATGCTGCAAACTCACACCAGAGAAATTCCTGATGAATCAAAGAAAGCTGCTGATACTTTAGGATTGCCTTGTTTGCATTAAGACCAGTCTGAAGCTTCTATATGAGGTAAAACTGACTGCTGATGCTCAACTTTTAACAATTTTTAGGCATTGAGTCCTGCTGTGACCCATTTGTTAGCACAGGCTGCCCAAGGGATATTTGCTGCCCAATTACTTTCTGTAAAGGCTGGTTATTCCAAATGACACTTGTCTGTGCTAGAGCAGGGAGAGCACTTCTGATGAGCAAGCAAAACTGTAAAGTGTCAGGATTCTTGCTATTATTTTAGCCCTATTTGGATAAATACTTCTATAAAAGAAAAGAACTTGTTTGTGCTCTTTATCTGCCACATTGGACACGTGTATGACAGTTCTCAACCCTGAAAAATGCAAACATCTCAGTTCAGATGGAGATTAACTATTTCCCTCTCTATAAATCTAATAAATAACATTCAACAAGTTCAAACCATTAAAAAAAAAAAATATCTGAAGACTTGCCTTTCACACAATTTTCAGGTTACACATTTGAAGAACATTTTTCCTAATGATAAACTGCTGAAAAACTGAGCGTTCTTTTGAGTATAAGAAACACAGTTTAATTTCAGCTAAAAGTATGTCACTGAAGGAAGGAAACATATTTCATTAAAGAAAAGCTGTACAGATGCACAGTACATTCCCTAAAGTAATCAGGCAAATGTCACCAAGCAAGACTAACTGCTTTAATATATTGCATTTTAAAGTTGAAGTCCCAAACTGCCTAGACAAAGTTTCCTACTTGGAACCTTGAAATTCAAACTCTCCGTGTCACGAAGCAAAAAACAAGTTCCACCATTGGAAAACTACACAAAAAGACAGATTGTTGAACTATGTCTCACCATCCATCTTTGTCTATTCGTAAATTGAGTTATCAAACAGGACCCTGACTTTGCAGCTGACTGTATGAACAGCCTCACTGGTTTCTGTAGGGATTCTACCACTGTCCATACTCATTCCCAGCACCAGCTGGAGGCCAAACTGGGTTTCAGCTTAAATCCAGAAGCTTGAATACAGTAAAGGCATCCGTAAATGAGCAAGGCATCTCAGCTGCTGGTCACATCTAGAGAGAAGGCTCAAGAGATGACCTTTAAGGTCCTTTTCAACCCAAACCATTCTAGGATTCTATCATCTTGAGCTGATGTTCTGCATGTGGTAGAATGAAAATGCGACGTTCTGCATGTGTCAAGAGGGTCACAGAAATCTAGAGCATTAGAATCTGCTTCACAGACTTAGCAGCCCACCTAAACCTTCTCAGTTATACTGGGAGTTTACTCCTGGGCTGGATTTACCTGCCTGACTCTAGGGCAAGCTGGTGGCATTGAAGACACTGGAGGACATCCAAGAAATCTGCATGGGGAGGGCAGGTAAGACCTTCAGAACATTCACCCTTTTCTCTCCTGGCAGCAGAAGGCCAGGTAAGACACCCCAGCACCCTAAAAATGGCTTTAGATTCCTAGAGGCAGCTGGGAGAATCTAGCTTAAGGAGAGATGATCACATTTAGGCATCTTATTCTGCCTGAATTCCCACCAAACTAGCTCTTCACAGCGATTTTAGGAAAAACACAGAATTTTTGAAGAAATCTACATCTTTCAAAATACTTCTGTATTGGATGAAAGTGCTCTTAAATACTGTTCATTTTATTGTCCCATGAAAACTGTAATTTAGCATCTCACACAACCTTCAGTTGTTTCTGTGTGTGGGGAGAGAGAAAGTGTTTATGTCTGTTAAATCTAATTGAACAAGTAAGCCAGGTCTACTAATTATAAGGGAAAGAAGACGACTCCAAATGCAGGAGAGAAAAGAAACTTTAGAGCCCTCAAATGATAGCTTCTTGGCTGATGTGACATCATTAAGTTTTCATGTATAGCGTTCAGATAAGCTTAAAAATGGAAAATTACAACAAGAGAACCAAAAAGTAAGTCACAAAGTAATAAAGAGCGAACCAATGTCTTGCAGAGACCTTATTAAACCACAAGGGTTTCTATATATAAATTGTATTCCATATTACTGTGTATATAGATCAATTCAGATTTACTGAAAGGAAGCACAATACCTAAAATTTATATGAAGATAACAGAAAACAATTTGGCTTTGGGCGAGTTTTTACAGTGGTAACTGTGAAAGGCTTCCTTTTAGGTTCCTATTCATTTTCCATTTTTAGGGCATTCTTTAGGAAGAAACCTAAAAATGTCTCTTATCTGAACTTCATTGTATCATACTGAAGATCTTTTTCAGGCAAAGAAAAAAAAGAAAGATTCTGGAGGACAATTTACTCCTTTCCTGAAGACAGTGAAGCGCCATTCATTCTTATACCCCAAGAAAGATGGCAAAGGAAAAAAGATTTTTTTCTAGTCAAGTAACTACACTAAAATTTACTTTTGGAAACACCAGTGTTATTTCAGAAACAACTTCTCAGCCCAAGCCCAAAGTTATAATCCAGATCTTTCTGAATACAAGCTGTTAAACATTAACAGGAAACAATTTTTAAAAGGGAGTTCAGGGGATAAATGGTCACATACAAATAAGGAATTTTAAAAATACTAATACTGAACCTAGAATACAACTACCTTAATCAGAAGACCCTGATATATCAGACTTGAGTATATATTGATGATAGAGTGCCAGGTGTTTTCTACAATTTAACAGAATTCAGCTACATACTAAAATGGATGTATTTATTTTTTTAAGGTAATGAAGGAAAAATCTGATTATCAGCACATAATTTTACGAACTAGTTGGTTTATACACAAGTAAACAGAACTATGCAGCAATAAAGAAGAAAAGCACCTCAGGAGCAAACACTTTTAAGTTAAAAAAAACCCCAAAAAACAAACAAAACTCCCACTCATCCTCCCCCTTAAAAAACCCAACCAACTACCCAAAACAAAAAACCCCAAACTAAATCATAAATCACCATAATTCAAAGAGCATGTGCAAAACCACATCAAATCACCTCCAGATCTCACTCCCTTTGGCACACAGTGCTCAACATTGGGATTCACAGATAATCTGTTAAGATTTGGTTGGTGCACACAGAAAACCAAAGAATCTATTTTCTGGGCACTAGGAACTTACTGCATAAGCCATAATTTTAGGGTAAAAAGAGATAAACAGGGAATATACATGTAGCACCAGCTTCTAATCCAAATGAACGCCACAAGCAAATTGCGATAACTAATGTTTCCTATTAGACCTTACACTGCAGGTACCCCCTCAACCCTACTTAAAATAAGGCAGATAACATCGTTAGAGATAATTTAGCAATACCATCTTTCTCATGAACAGCGCTTCTCTGTTTAAGAAAAGCTCAACTGTCGTGTTACATCTACTCACATGAAAAATTGGGAACCATTGGTATGTTTCCCTCGGTTTGCCATTGACAAAAGGAACGCTCTGTCATGTTTGAGAATAAAGTTTTCATCTGTTTGAAGAAAAAACATGTTTGTCAGATTTTTCCCTGACAAGGAACGCAAGGCTAATTTTCTTAGTTACTTATGAATGCTACAAGGAGAAATTCTGCTGCTGCTGAAGAAACATGAACAGGTTGGGACAAAAAACCAAAAATTCAAGTTTAAACAAACCTCTCAAAAGTTACAGTACAAGCAGTTATGAGACAGAAAGCATTCTTTCTAAAAGAAAAACCTTCAGGTATAGTGCAAACATTTCTAATGAAAATATTTAAAGTCATTATTAGTGTCTTCAATAAACATTACAGTCTCATAGACCTGGATTTAAAATCCAGCATTTTCTGAATAAAACCAAGGTTGGCAGACTTAGTGACATCCCAAAATAAGACTTAACATACATGATCCTGTTATTTATGCAGCATGCACCTCAGGTAGAAAGATCTAAGCCATTCCCCTGGGGTGGCACGTTAAAAGACAGCCACCTATTGATTCAAAACTGGAAGTCTCAAAACATACAAGGGGAAAAAAAAAAAACCACCACCTAGATACCTGGATGAGAAACTAAAGAAAATATGCAATACAATCAATTAAGACTAAACTAAACATGCATTTTATATTCCAGTGAATTAAAAAAAAGACTTCTGGTTGTACAGCATAATAGAAAACCAGATCTTCCAAAGTTATTTTCAAAGATAAAACTAGCAATTTCAGTGTACAAAGGTGTCATTTTTAAAGATTACATATCAAACCCCAATGCTGCATGTTTAGCACTCCCCCCCCCTTAGGAACAAACCCTGGTAACTGCTTAGCAAATGGATCTATTCAACACTTTCTTTTGACTAAAGGCTGCAAACACTCCAAAACCAAACTGTGGCTGTGTTTAAGACAAACTCAATGGCATGCACTTAACAACCCAGAGCCACTTGGAAAACACAGAGCCAGGGGCTGTTACATCAATACACATAGTGCTTTTATTAACACTCCAATACCACAGTAACTACCTGGGTTTTGCAAGAAAGAATTGCATGTCTTCAAACAAATACTTTATAAACTCACCATTTTCCTTCCAACAACAGATTTTAAAAAGAGGTAAAGGCACGTTTATTTACAAATTCTTTGCAAGTGAAATAACTGGTGTAGCATATAAATAAAAATCAAACACTTTTAGAAATGAACACTAAGCATACAAACCTTGAATAGGGATTGGGAGGAAAGGGACATTAACAAAAGAAGAAAAAAAAACAAACAACTGTTCAGAGTTGGAAATTATGCCAGTATTGTTTCCCAGAATAAGTCATTAACCCTCAGAAAGGTTAGACACAGAACTCTTCATTTCTCCAAGCAACACAGATACCCATCTACAAACGGACGTATCAGTTGTCTATAATTTACTAAGAAGGGTACAAGGGAATAGAGTTTGAATTTGTGTTACTGAGCTTTTGTCTCTTACCTTTTCATTTTGCAAAAGACCACATTCTCTATAAACAAAAGAATATGTTGACAGTTTTAGGCAGGAAGATAGGAGTTTATTCATGAATAAAGTTGCCTAACCTCCATGCTGAAAGTCACGTTTAATCAATAATGTTAGCCTTAATTAATTGTCAGTTAAAGTTAAATATTACCAAAAAAAAAAAAATTATCTGAAAGTCATGAATATAAAAATAATTCTCATGCAACATTAGTTTCATGCAAAAGGTGATCTATAAGTAGACCTGATCTCATTAAGTAGCTTGGGAATCAAGACTTGTTTATCTCAGAACTGAATAAAGAATCTGCAAAGACATATTTCCTCTTACCTTTAAAATAGCCACCGTAAATAGATTCACCTCCTTTTCCATTACCTATGCATTAAAAAGCATGAATTAAATCTTTTATGAAAAAAAGCTGTATGTAACATTCCATCACTTTAAAACAAACCAGGATGCTCTGGCCGGTTACTAATATTTGAGCATAAACTCCTTAAATTAAAAGTCTCAGGTGTGGATTATCCTGCTGACACTCAAAATATTGACAATGATGATTGTCTTGGTGCCTCTGAACACCAGGAGGTCCAGAGCAGGGCTCCAAAGGCTAATCCTCACTGGTATTTGCTCAAGCAGCAGACAAGCAGCAAAACAACAGCAAGAAAAAAAAGAACCACAGAAGGTACAACCAAAAGTCTTGTCCAGCTCCAAGCAGCTGAGAAACCACTCGAATGGATGAGATAAAGTAGCTGGCGGTTCTAAAGGCACTACTACTTGACTCTCAAAACAAGATATTCCTTCAATATTATCAGGTATTTTGGGACACGGTGAAGAAGACAGATTTTGGTAAGGACAGGTATTTCAGGGAAGGCCAACAGACTAAAACATGATGTTGTACACATACTACAGGGAAGGAAACAAAGAAACTCCTGGAAAAAACTCCTTTTGGAGACTTACCCGTTAAACACTTCTAGCTCATTTACTACAAATAATTTTAAAAAGCAAACTTATTCAAATAGTTAGGTCCCTGTATCAACAGAGCATTGTTAGTGTTGCCTCTACTGCAGACACGAAAGTAAAAAGAAGTAAGAATATATTTTAGATTTGAACTCTGTTTTAATAAGACTGGTGTTAACTCCAGCAAGGTGGTGGTGTGTGTTTTTTTTCTTCTTCAACTTAACATATTTTCTAAATAAATATTACTTCAATGGAAACATTTTAGAATTTCAAATAAAAGAAATGGGTGATCTATGCTCTACTTCACAGAAAATGAAGTATTTTTATGGCATTGTAATGCTTCCATGGCATTTTCTAAATTGACATTATAACCACTTCAGTTATCACGTTTCTGTTCTACTTAAAACATTTCGGTTTTAAAAGTGCATTTTACCTTCACTGAAGTCCCCACCCTGAATCATGAAGTTTTTAACCACACGATGGAATGTAGTGCCTTTGTAGCACAGCTTCTTTCCAGTTGTTTTGCCAATTCCTTTTTCACCTGCAAGAAGGTTAAACAAAAAGGATCTACAGATTGTGACAGAACAAACTCCAAGGGTTTCACCTCCCTAGTACTAATGGATATGAAAGCCATCAGAATAGCACAGAATGGTTGAGGTTGGAAGGGACCTTAAAGATCATCGAGTTCCAAACCCCCTGCTGTGGGCAGGGACACCTGTGTTTATCACCAAATTTTGAAAGATATCTGTCAAAGAATTGTGCTGTCCTATAAGTAAGCAGAATCAAACACAATTTGCAAGAATAAAACAAATGTTTCAGGTAGCTTTTAAACCTGCACCTCTGATCTCAAGTAGACGTCCTAACTTTGTGCTTACTTCCAAATGTCTTTCCAGTAAAAGAAAGGGACCAGCTGAAGACATCAATGAAACCTGTCCAGCTGTAGAACAGAATTCAAACAAGGATACAATACAAAGAAAAAGTCATTTCCTCAAAACAGTGTTTATTACCAAATTTTTAAAGATATCTGTCAAAGAATTGTGCTGTCCTATAAGTAAGCAGAATCAAACACAATTTGCAAGAATAAAACAAATGTTTCAGGTAGCTTTTAAACCTGCACCTCTGATCTCAAGTAGACGTCCTAACTTTGTGCTTACTTCCAAATGTCTTTCCAGTAAAAGAAAGGGACCAGCTGAAGACATCAATGAAACCTGTCCAGCTGTAGAACAGAATTCAAACAAGGATACAATACAAAGAAAAAGTCGTTTCCTCAAAACAAGCAAAAAAAAAAATTGTTCTCTCTTCTGCTTGTTTGCTTCAACCCTCATCATATCCAACACCTTTTCCTTCCATTATCTCCATCTTATGTTTTTCTAGCAAAGCTGCTGTAAAGATTTAAAAATCTTTCAGAACTACAGAACAGGAGGCTCAGACATTACACTATGCAGTCTGCTACCACATTTTATTTATCTTGTCTAATCTATTCTGATAAACTTCAAGCAAGTTCCTGTTTTTCTATGATAGTTGCATCATTCTTTCCCTAGGTATCTATCCCTAGATATCTCTTCTAATCTATTCTGATAAACTTCAAGCGAGTTCCTATTTTTCTACTATAGTTGCACCATTCTTTCCCTAGGTATCTATCCCTAGGTATCTCTTTAATAAGTGGAAGTGATTAAAAAATAATCAGAAAGTAGAATAAAAAGAGGAGGCATCACCACACAGACCTCAAAAAAAGTGAGCTATGTACTGTACGTTCCACAAGTTCACGGCATTATAAAGCTCTTCTAAATTTCAGAGATTATCTAGATTATCTAGAACACATCACATTCTGGGATTGGAGCTCTGACAAGATGAACTTTAAGAAGTTAACACAGAAGGATATCAACAAATTTGTTTCACGTAACCAGTTCTTGGAAAGCTGTTCCCAAAAGCCAGATGTTAAAATCTTGTCTAATCTATTCTGATAAACTTCAAGCAAGTTCCTGTTTTTCTATGATAGTTGCATCATTCTTTCCCTAGGTATCTATCCCTAGATATCTCTTTAATAGTGATTAAAAATCACTGTGTGATTAAAAAATAATCAGAAAGTAGAATCAAAAGAGGAGGCATCACCACACAGACCTCAAAAAAAGTGAGCTATGTACTGTACGTTCCACAAGTTCACGGCATTATAAAGCTCTTCTAAATTTCAGAGATTATCTAGATTATCTAGAACACATCACATTCTGGGATTGGAGCTCTGACAAGATGAACTTTAAGAAGTTAACACAGAAGGATATCAACAAATTTGTTTCACGTAACCAGTTCTTGGAAAGCTGTTCCCAAAAGCCAGATGTTAAAACGCTGCTTGGAAAATCTTGCTAAAGCATTTTAATGATCTGGAAAAGAGTTATTTCATATACAAAGTAGAGGCTTCACTGGCACAGTTCATTCCTGCAATAACTTAATCAAGATTAACCTTCAACTTACAGCTGAAAAAATCCCTGAGGAAGAGTGCAGACCAAAAAAACCCACTCCTTAAAAAAACATGGGTTGGAGGATGAGATGAAATACCCAGACATTCTTTTGCCAGTGTTGTCCCTTTAATTTCACAGATCTCTCCTCTCTCCCACCAAACAAGCCCAGGATTTCTAAGGGACTATCGTAGTCCCTTTTAGTCCTCGATTTAGCTAAAAATTAGTAAATTTTCTCAGATTTAATAGATGCTCTTGTCCTCTGATCCCTGTCCAGCACTTCTACGGACCTGAAATACACTCAAAATTTTATTAGATACATTCTATAAGTCTATATTGTTATATAAGAAAAATGTACATATATTCAAACTTTTATGTAGTGTCCTAAGTCAAATGTCAGCATTACACTGTTCAGTGACATTAATACTTGATGCCTCTCCTGATAAATCTTAAAGCCCTGATAATTCCTTAAGAATTTCTTGCCATCGTATTCCCTTTTAGTCCTCAATTTAGCTAAAAATTAGTAAGTTTTCTCAGATTTAATGGATGCTCTTGTCCTCTGATCCCTGTCCAGCACTTCTACGGACCTGAAATACACTCAAAATTTTATTAGATACATTCTATAAGTCTATATTGTTATATAAGAAAAATGTACATATATTCAAACTTTTATGTAGTGTCCTAAGTCAAATGTCAGCATTACACTGTTCAGTGACATTAATACTTGATGCCTCTCCTGATAAATCTTAAAGCCCTGATAATTCCTTAAGAATTTCTTGCCTTTATGGCATTTGTGCAACTTGAGTGATCAATAATTCCACCATAGTCTCAGCCTTGTCAATCACTTCTACCTCCAGGAGCCCCACACGAGGGTCCAAAAAAAGACTAAATGTCTTTGTTCCAGAAATTCACAGTTTCACATTCCGTAATCATGAATTATCTTCATTACTCAAACTCACAGTTATAGAATACCACGCTATTTCCTGCTATGCATTATTCAAATCCTCCCCAGCACCAACAAGTCTCAGCTTTGTTTTTATGAGGAAAAAAAAATAAATCCAGCACTGTTATTCTGCTGTGGCTTATACTTATATAAACAAATAACAACTGTAAGAAAACAAAAAATCATAAATATAAGCACGGTACTTACCCGAGCACAAGCAAAGGAAGTTTTTGCAAGTCTTCGGACATATGTCTGAGAAGAGCTGAAACATAATTCGACCAACTAGAAGAAAAAAAAAATATAATTTTTATAACTCATCATAATGACATAAGAAAAGCTGCATATAAATAAATCAGAATGTTTTGAAAATGTAATTTTCTGAAAAAAAGCTATTTTATCAAGATGAGTAAGAAAACATCCCAAATACGCTTATATTCAAACAAGCAGCAGGAAAGAACACTATTGTACTTGTAAAAAAAAAAAAAAAAAAGAAAATTAAGTAATATCATTATATCTCATTTCTTCAGAATCCCAATGATTCCATTTGGAGTTGAACTTGGAAAGCCAAACTGATTTACTGAAATAATTTATCCTGTCAATTAATTTCTGATTTGAAAACCCAAAAGATTTGCCATAGATACAGGTCCTCAGTGAGCTGAAGTAACACTCTTGGCCTAAAATCCTCTAGTTTAAAAAAAATAATAGAAAAATAGATGAACCAAATAGAAAGATGAAAGGTGGGCAGAATAATACTAGCAATTTTAGGACATTCCACTTGCCAGATACTATGAACCAAATAGTACTTTCTCTCTATGCAAAGTGAATGGAGTAATTCTCACTCTTAGTACAGCTCCCCCCACGCTGTTGGTGGTAGTTACACTACGTACCTTGGAAAACTATTACAATACTGCTAAAGAGTGGTTTAATTAATAGAAAAACTACTGCAGAACTGATTCACATTTTCTATGTTATTTTCCAAGATAGCAGGATGCATATTACTGACAAACAAAAGCAGAAAACTCCCAGACATGAAGCCTTTCAAAAATACGTAATTAGCAAAGAGGAAGTCGTTGTCTCTAAAGGGTGTGAAATAAACCATAAAAGCCACACTGTTGGCCAGGATTACAAAACCATAATAATCTGTCAATGAGCACTACCCTCTAGTGGTGCACACTGGTTAAGACCTCAACGAAAATTTTAAAAAGTAAGTATTCCAGGAATTACGTTTTCTTTTCTTCCACTTAAAGAAAAAAAATAATCATAATTTAAGTTCAAATGTATTTTATTCAATACTTTGTCACCCAGAAAAAAATTCAAGAGGCTCCTAAGAAACTGTGTTCAATTTTAGGTTTTTTTCCAAACGAATACAATTGCCAGCAATTTGCAGTTGGTTCAAAAATGGAAGAAACGAGAAAAAATAAAATGAAATAGCACAAAGACCACCTGTATTTTGTACTCTTTGATAAAAATTCAAGATGCCTTCAGCTGTTGAAATGTCTGCCTTTCATTAACTGCTGTAAGAATGTTCTCTGATTATTTGTCATTACAGGAAGAAAATCTAAAGAAAATGGGTAGAGATAGTCTCCAAAGCATGAAAAAATTGCAAATATTCAAAGCCCCTCCATTAAACAGCAGTAGCCATAACCAGCACTATGAAAAGACAGCTATTTGGGTGTGAAGAAACCATTACAAGCTACGCGGAGTGAAGATGCACACAGAGAACACAATAGAGGAGACAGTTTAGCAAGAGAGTTATCAATTTTCATTATAAACACAGTAATTCAGGAGAGCAGAAATCCCATTCCTCCGCTTGTGAAAGCGCCCAACTGAGCAGTGACAAAGTGCTTTAGAAAGCCACGTACAGATTTCCTCTCACATTCACTCTATTGAAGCCTTTCAGAAAAAAAAAAAAAAAACGATGTCACCATCCCCATTCTACCAAGAGTAGAGAAATAATGACCAGCTGCTGATTTACCAAGATAAGAGCTGCCCAAATAACTAATAGGTGTCACTGCCTGTGGGCTCCAGGAGGGACTTTCATCCTCAGGAATAAACTGCATCAAAGTTATGGTTGGAAGATCCTGTCTCACGTACAAACCCCACCACACTTGGCACCTTAGGCAGCAGACGCCATCTCATCCATCTTCTGGTGGAAGAGCATCATCTTAAGTTCTTGAAGATGTTAAGGGAGAACATGGAAAAAGGCATTCATAACCAAGGTACCATGATTTCAAGAGTAGCTTTCACTAGTACTCTGTCAATAACAGCATCTGCAACCCTCTCATGCCTTTCAACTCCTACGAACTGTGACGCACACACCCAAATCAAAAGATTATAGATCCAGTTGAAAAGATAAGAACGTCTCTCCTCCATATAAGCTCAAGTGCTGCTTACCTGGTTATCTCAAGCTATCTAAAATGTGTGCTTGTAATACAGAAGCCCACATACTGTGCATCCATCTGCTGGGGTACTATCTGCATTTTACCTAAACTGCACAAATACCCTTATCACTGAAAGCTTGTATTTTCCCCTGACAAACAGTCAACGAATGCGCCAGAGAAAGACCAAATGCATTCTCACACCTTGATCAGATCATTAATCTTCCCTCAGATTTAGACACCTCTTCTCTGAAATGATTCACCTTCACTCTACAGAGAAAATTTCCAATACTTTCTTCAGCTTAATTTCCCTGATATGAAGGTAAAGTTACTTGATTAGGGAACAAGCTTTCTGGGACTGACCATAAATAACACTTCAATAGTAAATTAAATATATTTTTTGATAGAAATTAGACTAAGTGATGAAAGAAGTATTTACATTACTGGTAATTACAAACAGTAAGTGATGCATATATAAAGTTTAAGATATTTTAAAGTTTGATTCCATAAAGTGTTTTCTGTAGCTAACGAGCTACACCAATTATAGAGTCCAGAAGGCATAAAGACCGGAAAGAAAATAATCCCACTTCAGAATTCTATTTTCAAATTTAAAGATGAACATTTTGCTTGTTTTGTTTTTGAACTCTTGATTAACTTTTTAGCTGAGGAAGAGCTAGTACTTGATTCAAATTAAGTGGTAAAAAAATCAGGGTAGGAATATCCATGCTACATTGTAATAAGGGCTCCTGCTAGCAAAGTTTATCAAAATCATCATTGATTTCAAATGTTTATCCAGTTATTTCCTCCAGTTTACCTGCTAAACATTTTAGAAACAACATATTGTTTGAATGTATTTTCCATATAATATAAATTGTTTTGCTAGATTATGTTCTGTTTCAGCCACACAGGTGTCGATTTCCGATAGATGCTCCCAAAATAAACCTAGGCATCCAAAATTAAATTTAAATATGTTGGGTTTGGCTTTTCCCCATTTCTTAAAGCAAACCAAGCGAGAAGCCAGCGCAGCACTTTTCCCAGCATATCAACAGGACTATCCTGCTGAAGGAGAAAGCAGGGATTACATCCATTAAGACACTGATGCACGTCCCTTACAGACAGAGGCCAGGAAGCCTGCCAGAGGCCCAAAGGCTTAGACAGATTTGCACAGAAGCTTAAATCACAGCTCACTAAAATGACCGTATTTTCATTTTATTAACTTATTTATCCCAAAATTCGTGAGCACTAACTCATATAAATTCAAAAAGACAGCTTTAAAGTAGAAATGCGGCTACAGTTTTCAGAAAAACAAAGCTTTACTGTGGAAAAAGAATAGATTTTCTTGAAAACACCAGTTAAAACAATGGATGTCCCAGTTCCTCTGAGCAGGGATCTATAGTCTTGACATATTAACACTTTGTCAGTGCTGCCTTACCCCACCTTACACTCTTTGCAAGGGAAGTCTCCATAAACTTCCTTCCCCAGACCTCTAATAAGCCCAGTCTTCCACAAGTACTGCCTGAAGCTCCCTCCATTCCAAATCTTCCACGGTCTCCACAAAAACAAACATATTTCAGTTCTGCACACAGCAAAAATTCACTGTCTTCAGTTTCAGAGATACTCAAGTGAGAGACTACACTCTGTCTTCTCCCACCAGAAGAGGCTGATTGGTTTGGTCTTCCATTTCCCAATCCTGGTTTTTCTAAACATCAAGGCAAGGCTTCAGGGTTTTTCATTCTGCGCTGACAACAATTCTATTATGATGACTGGATTACAGTTTTTGTTAAAATCAGATCCCTCCAAAACCTACATCTTACCTTCCTTACACACCCTCTGATGGGGGTCCCCCATATCACATGCCCTCTTGGCCCCTGTTGTACCACATTCATCTGGATTGACAATCGTGATGTTTTATTTTCTGCCAATCTACAACTTTTTGCCTTCAAAGGGCTAAAAGTTAACAGAGAATCCTGTCGAGAACAGTTTCTGCCTTCAGGAAGGGTAATGAAAACCCCACTTCTACTAACGCAGACACAGTACTACCATAACTTTGGCAATGGAGTTTATTTCACATAAATTCATAGCAGCTGAAATCCCAAAATACACCAAACTCGAGGCAAAAGCGACCAGAAGGAGAGAAGTAATGAAAGAACAGACTGACTGATGAGGGAAGGGATATACCCCGGGAAGGAAAGAAACTGGGATGGAATGAAAAAGTGAGCAAGGGGTCAAACAGTAACAGAAACAGGAGTAAAATAAATAAATAAATAAAAAGAAGGAAAATGATTCTGTGAATCACAATGACATAAAGCGAAAATGAATAAATATAACATGGTTTATGATGGATAAAGCCAGTTGAGGGGGGATGCATGAAAAAAATCTTGGATGGCCACATGAACTGTGCTACAGCAGCAGTGTGTGTGTGACATACAGTCAGACATCTGTTCTAATTATCATGGTACCTGAAAGACTGAAGCTTCACACAGATTTGCATCACAGAGTAAAGACAGAATTATTTAAATAGGCATCTGCTGCCATCCCAGATTTCTTGGCATACCCTAGGTAGCTCACTCCTATAGGCATGCTGTATGTGTCCAAATCCCTGGGTAGGGGGGGACCCAAAAGAAGAGAGAGCCTGTGCTAGTATCAAAATAAATGCTTATTCCTGATTTATTCTCTGTTTGCTCTTTAAAAATTAGGAACCACAAAGTGCCTTCATAAAAAAAAAACTCGTGATGTTTTATTTTCTGCCAATCTACAACTTTTTGCCTTCAAAGGGCTAAAAGTTAACAGAGAATCCTGTCGAGAACAGTTTCTGCCTTCAGGAAGGGTAATGAAAACCCCACTTCTACTAACGCAGACACAGTACTACCATAACTTTGGCAATGGAGTTTATTTCACATAAATTCATAGCAGCTGAAATCCCAAAATACACCAAACTCGAGGCAAAAGCGACCAGAAGGAGAGAAGTAATGAAAGAACAGACTGACTGATGAGGGAAGGGATATACCCCGGGAAGGAAAGAAACTGGGATGGAATGAAAAAGTGAGCAAGGGGTCAAACAGTAACAGAAACAGGAGTAAAATAAATAAATAAATAAAAAGAAGGAAAATGATTCTGTGAATCACAATGACATAAAGCGAAAATGAATAAATATAACATGGTTTATGATGGATAAAGCCAGTTGAGGGGGGATGCATGAAAAAAATCTTGGATGGCCACATGAACTGTGCTACAGCAGCAGTGTGTGTGTGACATACAGTCAGACATCTGTTCTAATTATCGTGAGGAGGGGAGATGTGTGAAAATAATCTTGGATGGCCACATGAACTGTTGCTACACAACTGACTGTATGTGCGACATACAGTCAGACATCTGTTCTAATTATCATGGTACCTGAAAGACTGAAGCTCCACACAGATTTGCATCACAGAGTAAAGACAGAATTATTTAAATAGGCATCTGCTGCCATCCCAGATTTCTTGGCATGCCGTAGGTAGCTCGCTCCTATAGGCATGTTGTATGTGTCCAAATCCCTGGGTAGGGGGGGACCCAAAAGAAGAGAGAGCCTGTGCTAGTATCAAAATAAATGCTTATTCCTGATTTATTCTCTGTTTGCTCTTTAAAAATTAGGAACCACAAAGTGCCTTCATAAAAAAAAAACAAAAATGCTTAACAGGCAACTTATTAAAAGCAGCCTAAATTTAGACTTAAAAAACACTGACACAGAGCCTACAAAGTTTACCCCGCTGCAAGAGGGACACACAAACAGGCATCAGGATTCTCCAGCTAGAATTAAAATACGGACACAAAAGCTGCAATAAAGCTTCTGAGAGCCCAACCCTAGCTACAATATTCACTCCTGTATTTTCTAAGGGATCTAGTTAAAAGAGTAAAACTAATTTGAACTCTGCAGTCCCCTCGCCTCTCACATATGCTCACCCCCCATACCCTTTGCTGCTCCTTCTCATCTAGTCTGTGCACCACTCTCTTATTTTTAATTGCTACAGGTATCTTGACAAACACTGGGTAAGCAAAGTCTGTTAAGGGGAAAGCTAAGAGTTGGCAGCTGCCCCGGAGGAATATTTTTGGACTCCAAGCAACCTACACTGTTAAAAATGACACAGTTTTGTATTCTGCAGGCAAAGAGATGTCTCCAGTACCGAGAGGCACATCCTGTTATTCCCTGCATTTTGTGGAGAGATGCGAGTTCAGCTTTTCAGTGTAGACAGGGTGGGGGCAATGTCTTATTTATTGGCTAACAACAAAACACAGGATTGTTCTTCTCCCTACATCTGATAAAAATGAGCAAGAAGATCAGCTTATTGCATGTAAAATCAAATAAGCAAAATGTTAATTTGGAAATCTTCTGGCAGTCTAAAAGTTAATACCTCACTAGTATCAGCGGGAGAGTACATCTCTCAGAGTTAGTGCTTCATGTCATCTGGAAGCACTGCTTTATCATTCACACTTGGTTCAGCTTTTGAAGGTCATCTTACAGCTAAAAGAGCAAGGTTTACGCTTTTTAAATATAACCTTAAATCCCAAGGCATAGTTGCGTAGTGAATTAATAAACAGACACTAGAATAAAGCAGTATAACCAAATTACACGAGTCCCCATACCATCATTTTACAAATTGGCACGTTTTCCTGCAAAAATACAACTCATTAGTCGGGTGCAATACAAACAGCAGGGCTCTGAATTTGATAGACAGCTGTGAGATTCCTGTTACTTCAAAAAGAAAATAAATAGAGACAGCCACGAACGGAGCCAAAGCCCCTGTGTCTACTCCAGGGGCTCTGAGAGCTCTGCACCACCAAGAACACTAACGCTGCAATTCCTCCCTGACACCGCTATCAGTCATCAAGCCCAAGTAGATGTGAGGGAAAACAAGGTAATCCACTTTCACTCGTGATGCACAGCACAAGGCTGAGGAGGGGAAGAAGGTAGGCAACAAGAGGTATTATGAAATGGGAGCAGGAACCTCTGTCCAGAGAAAGAGCTGAAGAAAACAGTGCAGGGAGAGACTCCTCAGATTAATGGCCAAAACAAAAAAAACCTAACAAATATTAAAAGCAAATGAGATGAAGGATGATGAATTGTCTTTGCTATAAACCCATCTTATACTATTTCTAAACTGGAAATCTACCAACCTAAAAACATCTTTAGTAGTCTTATTCCATAGCAAATCTGAATTTAAAGCAACAGAAAATGTTGAAACTCCATTTACCTTAACATTTTTCTCTTCAATAAAAGTATTCAGAAAAGATACTGTTAATTAAAGCACCTCCAATAGGAGTTAGAATAGCAACAGATTTGTAGATATGCCCTATCAGGCCACTGAAGTTAGAACTGAATCTTTCTTTTCAAGTTTTGGTGAAAATAAAAAGCAAGCTAAATGGGTCACGGTTACATCTGCACGCAACTGCAATTTGAAAATGCAGAGAAATAAACTCTTATTTCAAAGTCTTTCAGAGAAACATTGGAGCAGAAAATGAAAGTGAAAGCATAATGAAGCCATCACATTTATTCATTTTTCTGAGAGACAAATAGTAACGATACAGAGCACAGGAGAGACAGCTCATACGCATCCATAAACTCACATTCAAAAAAGATGGGTAAGTAAATCCGTACAACCATTTTTACAGAGTGGGGAAAACAGAAGAGGGAATCAAGTTGCTATTTCAGGATTAAAACTCTCAGTCTCCCATGTACGGGCGATTACACTTCCCATAGGGAAAATACGAGTTAAGAGTTATTTTAATTTATTTTTTTTTAAATCAGGCCACCCGGTGAAACATTCCAGGCTTCTATGGTCCATTTCTCATTTACACTCGGAAGACTCATTTTGAGCAGGAAGAGGAAAGATTTAGACCAGATGACCTCCCGAGGTCCTTTTCCAGTTTTAATTACTGTGTGATTAAAAATACTTCTCGGAGTCCCTCTCCAGCTCCCTCACAACTTGCCCTAGTTTTTCACAGTATATAGAACTGTGAAGGTATAATACCTAACTAGACAGCACTTACAATACAGAAACGTTTTTATCTTCGGAATAGTTTGTCTCACTGAACCTCTCCCTCCACGTATTCAAATAAAAATCAATCCCAAGGAGAGGAAAAAAAAACATCCAGCACCCTAGTAAACACCAAAAGTTACCAAAAACTAACCCAGGAATAACACATCAAGGGCCAAACTCATTCCTAACGGCCTGGGTCAACTACTAAGGTAAAAAATATGGTTAAAAAATAAAATAAATACACAGAGCAAGCACAGCACTGGAGGGGAATGTTTGTGTCGGGGGGGGACAAAGCCTTACCTGGCTCCCGGTTGATTTCTATCTCGAAGAAGCACTGGGGCCGGTCCTGCACCCCCATGGCGGCGGGCAGCCCGCCGGCCCCTCGCCACCTGGACACAAAGAAGAGGCGCCCTGAGTGGGGAGCGGCCCCGGCCCGGCCCGGCCCCGCCGGATCCCGCCCTTCGGCCGCCTTTCCCTCCTTCTTCCCCTCCCCTCATTACCTCCCTTCCTCCCCACCGAAAGGGGAAAACGACACCGGGGCGGTACGGGCTGGTGGGGGTTCCGTGAGGGGCTCGGTGGGGCCGTGAGGGGCTTCGAGAGGGACCGGTGGGGGTTCCGTGAGGGGCTCGGCGGGGCCCCGAAAGGCTCCGTGAGGGACAGACGCCGCCGGCCCCGAACGCCATTAACCGACGGACTCCATGGCCCGTCCGTCCGCCCGCCCCGCTCTGCTCCGCTCCGCCCCGCCGCCGCGCCGCCTCCCCCCGCCGCGGCCCGCCCCCGTGAGGGGAGGACGAGGGGAAGCGGCGGG